GCGAAAGAGAAAATAAAACCAAAATTTACTAGTATCCCTTATGTGCCCAGAACTGTGCTAGTGCTTAGTAAATGTGATATAATCTGTATGTTAATTCTAGGAGTTTATTATATAATTATCCCCATTTTACTTGTATAAAACATGAAATTCAGAGAGGATTGGTAACCTGCCCAAGGCCACACAGTAACAAGTGACAAGAGCTGCCTCAAATCTTTTGTAAAAGAAGCTAAAGAATTAATGGATGAAAATGTAATCAAGAAGCAAACCTAGGATTCTAATCGGATCTATGTAACACAAAGCCTACAGGCTGCCTCCCACACAGGACCTTTCAAACAGGACGGCCTCATTAGGTGAGCAAAACTCGTGGGGCACAAGTAACATCCTTGAACTGATAAACTTATGCCCAAGTCTTCTGGACAAGACATGCTCTCTAAGACACATGTGAACTCTGGCACTATGTGTAATTCATCCCCTCTGTCATGCACCAAGGAAGACCTATCACCCTCTCTTCTTCTAGGGCTCCACACAGAAAGCACAGACATTGTCAGATCTTGTACCCAGATCCCTCCTTCTATTCGGGGGCCTCCCTCTGTAATGAGGTTCCACCACATCCAAATGGCTTGGGGGTATGGAAATAAATACTGGGTGCCCTTGTACCAGTTACTGAACTTCTCTGAACATCATGGTGCTTGGCACAATGTTTGGGAATCATCTGCTGAAGGGATGGTTGAATGGAAGGGGGTCTGGGAGGATGGATAGGTCACAAACTATAACATCTGATACAGAGAAACAGCAGACATTTAGACTATTCGTTTTTCCTGCCATTCCCGTTATCATCAATTGGAAGGGTATAGAACCAGAGGTGGAAGGAGACTCCCTTTCTTGGGCTACATCTCAGGAAATGGGCTTTTATTGCTTATCTTCTTAATCTCTTTCCTTAGCAGTCAGTCCATCCACATCCCTAGAGGCACACTGTGATAAGCATTTCTGAGCAAAGTAAAGAGACCTTGTTAAAAGCTAAAGGCCTGAGGATTTGTGGGGGCATAGCCTGTGCAGACAGGCCAGATAACTAGCAACCCAAGGCATGGCTAGGGACCCGCACTCTATCTCGGACTTGTCTCAGAGATTTCCCAAGCCAGGTCTCTCCCAGGGTCCTGCCCTAGTTCTGCCTTTGTCTGCTTTTCTGAAAGTAATTAAAAGAAAGAATTCAAGAGCCCAGGAGAACCATGGGGTTGGCAAGTCCAAACCCCTAGGAAGGGCATACACATTCAGGGTCTTTATTCGTCAGTACTTGAGAGCCAAGGGTACATTCACCCAAAGACAAAAAATGTGAACTGCCTGGTCCACAAGTGGGATAAAAGCTGACTGCTATATTAATGACCGTGGTATTTGGAGGACTGTTGTATTGCCCCCTTGGTTTTCATTTTCTGAGGGAGGTCCAGTCAAATGATCAGCAGCTCCCACAGGCTGCCAATTTCCGTCACATTCAGGATCTCTCAGGAACTTGCAAAACCAACTTCCTGGAGATACCAGGAGTGGCCTGTACATTTTCTAACTCTTGAGCTGTGCCTCGCACCAAAGAAACAGAAAAACAGTCTGACCTCATGGAACTCAGCCACCACCCCAGGAGCCAGGAAAAGACAACTTTTTTTTTTTTTTTTTTTGTAAGATCTCACTGGATGGAAAGCAGAAGGAACAATACTATGCTAAGATCTGCAATGAAAAAGTTCCTTCTACAAAAGAAGCCAAACTCCAAAGAGTTCACTATACTGTATGATTTCATTCACAGAAAGTTCAAAATTAGACAAAAGTCTCCCACAGTGTTGAGGGTCAAGGGATGCTTGCTTCTGTGTAGGAAGGATGCAATAATAAATGGAAGAAGCATGAAGGGGGCTTTGGGGATGCTTGATAACATTTTATTTTGATCTGTGTGCTGGGTACATGAGTGGTGTTTATTGGGATACCTGAGTGGCTCAGTCGGTTAAGCATCTACCTTCAGCTTAGGTCATGATCCCAGGGTCCTGGGATTGAGTCCCACATCGGGCTCTTGGCTCAGCGGGGAGCCTGCTTCTCTCTCTGCCTGCAGCTTCTTCTCTCTCTCTTTCTCTCTGACAAATAAATAAATTAAACCTTTAAAAAAAATGAGTGGTATTTATTTTGTGATAATTCAAGTTGTATACTTAATGATTTGTAGGATTCGATGTGCTTTATACAGACCGAAAGAGGGTTATGCTCACTGCGGGCTGCTTGCAGAATCCCATCCATGTACACTGGGCCAGACACTTTTAAAAAAGAATAAACCCATAAGTCTAGTTTTCTACCTTCAAATGGTGGTCTCATGGTTTTCAAAATCAGTCAGGCTCTTTTCAGGCTGACTGTCATGAATATCAGGACCTAATCAAGCCTTTTCCTACACTTGGCCAATCTCTGGATGGGCCAAATTCTGCCTGTGGTCCCACAGGCAGATCAACTAAGTCATCCTCAGGCCTCCCTGATCTGACAGGGAAAGCAGAGACACAGAGCCCACAGGCTAAGTTAAGCAACTTTCTCCAGATTACCCAATGAGCTGCTGCTGGGGGGCCTTGTGATTCCTATCCAAGGGCTATCACTTTTCTACTACAGCTCATTCCACAGGGGCCAATTAACACACACTCTCCTTCAGGGAACAGAAAAAAACAAGCCCAGGAACTCACGGGTCGTTCTTTATATGCAAGGCACACAAAGGGGTTTACCAAGTTCCTCTCCAAGAGGAAATCTGGAGAGCCAGGAAGAGGAGGAGGGAAGTGCTGAGTCTGCAGCAGGGCACTGCAACAGAGCCCAGTGTTTTTGTGGAAACGATGTTCTCCTAATCAAAACACAGTTGCATAAATGGACTCACTCCATTTAAAAAAAAAAAGAAGAAATTTAAAGCCTATAAATAGGAACCACACAACCCTGATTAATTTTAAAGTTCTTTCTCCACTGTCTTTTTTAGATAGTAGCTAAAAATAAAGGCTTGAAACTTGAAATAATGTAAGCAACTAATCACACACAAGCACTGGGCTTTTCCCATATATGGCTGGGTTATTCTTCAGCCTTCGAAAAGACCAAATGAAGAGATGGCCAACAACCAAAATAATCCTTCAGACATTTGAAAACGAGGAGAAAGAACTAGAAGAGTTGGTGAATGACAAACAATTGTGAGGCTCAATGGGGGTAAATGACACTGAGAGGGATTAGTTGCCATAGTACTTTAAAAACATGGGCACATGCATTTTGACACTGGACCCCTTCTATAAAGAGACTGCTTTGCCCTCTGGCCTCAGCACTAAGAAAACTACAGCTGCGGTGATTTAACATAAAGGACTCAAAGAAGGAGAGAAATATAGGGGCATGACTGAAAATTTAATTAAGGCCCTTCTCAGTATGAAATCTATAAGGGCGATGAGGGCACGTCTCAAGGTCAGAAGAAAGGGACAGAGCCGTGTGGAGAGGGGAAGTGGGTAGGGATTCGAATGAGATTCGAGCATAAACAGCAGAGGTCAGCTCTAGAAGACAGCTTGCTTATGATGGAGGGTTATTACAGTGTCTGTTGGGTCCTGCCTGAAATGTTTCTATAAAAAGATGAACACATTCATGTCAAATAAATGCCACACAGTGGCACACAGTCTGTGAGACAGACTGGAAAAGCCACCTTTGCACTGTGTTTTATGGTTTGCAAAGCCTCATCACAGACGTCATCCTGGACACAAGGTAAGGCACCTGCTTTTACTGATAAGGAAACTGAGGCTCTGGGAGGGTAAGTGACCTAACACAAGGTGTCTGACAGGTGACTTCATGCAGGAGGGCTGGAGTAGCGACCTCAAGGTAACACTCCCAATGGGCAATCAAGTTTCATTCATGACACCTCACGAAGAGCACCAGTAGGCGTGCCCAGTTTAGGTTCACGTTTTGGTTCATCCACTACCTCTCTGTGACTGTGGGCAAATAATTTCCCCTCTTCTGATTCAAACCGTCAACTGGAAAATGATAGGGCTGTCCTAGATGACAGGAGGCAGGAGGTGGGGAGGCAGGGGGAGACCAACATGGGCTGAGTGGGCCATCCTGCTCTTGCCCTCAGCTGTGAGCCTGTCCTCACAAGCCCCAGACGGGACTGTCGGGCACTGTCACCGCTTCACGTGTGGAGACAGCCTTCCTCTTACACACTGAAATACACAGATGGCACCTACAGAAATGACTTCCAGAAAGTAAGACTGGAAAATGTCTTCATTCCTCCAAAAACACAGTAACAAAAACTAGTGACAAGGCAACATGAATTTGAAATTTTCATTCTACCACTTTTTTTCTCTTTCCCTCTCTATGGGATAGATCTTCCTCATGATGCTTGATTCTTTTTCTGAAAAGAGGCCCTACTTTTTGACAGTTCTAATGGTTTTCCCATGCATGCCCATAAGGCCTTTTATGTGGCTCGGGAGTCAATAATAAATAACAGCAACAAAAATAGCAAGCATCCTTCACCGAGGGACTATGACACTCCAGGCACCACTGCTGAGCCCTCTGCACCCATCGTCTCTAATCTCTGTAACTACCGCACAAGCAAGGCATTACTGTCTCCATTTTATAGAAGGGAAAACAAGGGCTCAGACAAGTTTAGGGATTTGGCCAAGGAAGGCCATCTTAATTAACTGCAGGGCTGGGATTTAAACTGTCATCTGGGCCAATTCCAGAGTATGTTCTTGCTGCTGCTTCTCCATTACGAGACCTCTAGTCAACATGCTGCAGGCGTCCAAGACTCTGGGTGATGCAGCTTATTCATGGTTTCTCCTCATCACCATCCCTGCAGAATGGGATACTTGCCAGGTAGTCTTAAAGCACTCTCCCTGAAACTCAAGGCAGCTGGAGAATAAGGAGGGTGGAAAAGTGGTGGGCTGAGCTGATGGTATGGTGAAGTGACCCCACATGTGTTCCCCCTAACCACTGGGACCAGGTCCAGAATTAGATTTCATTTCCAGATCACTAACCTGGTGAGGCACAAGCCCGAGAGAGGTTGGCGGCTCATTCATGCGGTCATCACTGCTACTGGCAATGGCGTAGCCCCTGAAAAAAGAAAACAATTAGAGGTGCTTGTTTAATAAAAGTTTATGTTTAGCACCTGTGAGAATGATGGGGGGGGTCCTGTGAGATTTACAAGGATAACCAAAAATGCCCCTTGTGGGACAGCACGAGCTAGCGAAAACCTAATTTCTATGGGAGGGAAAGAGGAAGAAGAGCACACACACAAAAAAATGCCTGAGTTCTGGAGTCAGAAAGGCCAGAGCTTATGACCACAGGCAAGTTTCTTAACTTCTCTTTTGCTCTGGGTCCATTAACTATAAAACAGGAATAAGACCTTTATGAGGCATAAATTAGGAATAAGTTAGACAAACTGCCAAGTGCAATGTTTGGCACATGATAAGCAGATTAATGTTAACTCCCTTATTCTGAGATAGTCTTGTAAAAACCATGGGCACAGTTTTGTACTGAAATTTTGAAATGGAAAACTTTCCAACCTTAACTTGAGGTGATATGAATGCTACAAAAATGGAGGAAGGAGATAGAACAATGAGGAATTAATTAGGTAGGAGAACGGATGCACTCCTTCCTGAATGACAGTGTGATGTCTCCTTATGGCAGAGAAGACATTCGATACAGGACCTGGTTTCAGCCTACAACCAGGGCAAACACTGTACACAGAGGGGCCAGTGGCAAGGAATGGCATAATTGGCTCTCCAAGACTTTATCCCAGATTCGCCCTGTCAGGAGGCTACACTACACTACTACACTTAGAAGGCAGGGGCCCAGGGGGATAACGGAGATGAGAGGAAGTAAAAAAAAAAAAAAAAGCTGCTTATTTTCATTTAACTGTTACACCTAGACTAGCTATGTATGCTACCAACGTTGTACAGAGGTCTTTTCAATTGTGTAGAAAAACTCTTGAGTCATAAAATAAATAGAATATTCAATGTTAATTTCTGAGAATTGGAAAAACAAATCTTTCGAAAATTCAATTCTCTCCTGCCTGTGTTACAAACAGCATAGCAGGATGATTAAAAACAGAGTTTGGAGCAAAACTGCCTTGAGTGAAAGCCCAGCTTTACCACTTACCAGCTATGGGAATTCCAGCAACTTATCCTCCCTATGACTCAATTTCCCCCTCAAAAATGGGACAGGTAATAGTTCTTTCCTGATAGGTTTGCTATGAAGATTAAGTGAGTTACTCTTGCAAAGTGATTAGAACAGCGCCTAGCACACGGTAAGCACTATATAATAAGTGTCTGACAAATAAAATAAATTACAGTGTATTTGTCAGATAGTCAGGTGTAAATATCCATTTGACTTCAGTCTGCCTTTGCTGACACTTGGCAGCAGAGCCTTGGGCAGATATGGAGAGAATCTTAAACTGTTTAATCATTTTTCTTCTACTTTTTTCTTTGTTTCCTTTCCTTTTCTTTCCTTCACCCCTTTCTCATCTCCTCTTTTCTTTCCTTCTTTCTTTCTTAAAATTACTGGCTCTATTCTTGAAATTAATTTAATTTTATCTCACTTCTATTTATTACAAAATGAATTAATTCTATTGTTTATAGGTCATTAAGTAAGATCTTCTTGCTTGGAGCAGATAGGGTGTCCAGATTACAACTGTGCTAAGCTTTATATCTTTTTTTTTTTTTAAAAAAGGAGGGTCAAAGGGAGAAGCAGACTCCCTGCCGAGCAGGGAGCCCAATGCGGGACTCGATCCCGGGACTCCAGGATCATGACCTGAGCCGAAGGCAGTTGCTTAACCAACAGAGCCACCCAGGCGCCCCTAAGCTTTGTATCTTTAATGTAACACATATACAGTATGGTAAACATATAGACTACTTAAAGCCTAGGTCAAGTTGAAACAAAACATACCAGCCTGCTGATTTCTTTACTCTCACATGCAAGCTAGTACACTATGAGTGCTTAATAAATTAAAAAAAAAAAAACATTTTAAAGTTGGTATGGCATTGGTAGGCTAGGTGGTCATGACCAACCCTCCACTGAAAACAAACAGAAAACTAGATACAGTATTAAAACCTTTGTTTGAAAGCATGACAGCTACCAAAGTAGGGGAGAATTACAGAGCCAAGAGATCTGTGAGAGGAGAGAAGCTCATAGAGGTCAACAAGGCATTTGCAAGGGGAACTTTCTGTCATAAAGTGATTGCCAATCTCCAAAAGCAGTGGCTAGAGGATCAGAAGCTGTTATATGGACAGTTATATGGACAAATGGACTGGAAGGAAAAACTACAGCTTAAGGTTTGCCAATAAGGAGGAATCATGAAAAATATCCCAGACTTTGGGTTGGGACCAATGGGGGTTGCATCCTAGGAATAAGAGTGAAGCAGAAATAGACAAGCCCTAATTGGACTTAAGTGTTCTAGGACTGATCTATTTGGCCTAGCAGTTTGCCAGAAGGAAATGTAAATCACATCATCTCTGCAATTTTTCATATATAATGTCCAGTAGTTAGTAAAAAATAACCAAGCAAAAAATAAATAAATAAATAAATAAATAAATAAATAAATAAATAATAACCAAGCAGATTTGAGAAACTGGGGAAATTTAAAAACTAACTGGATATGAGGTGATGTGAAGGAATTACTTTTAATTTATTTTTATATGTAAAGTAGTAGAGATACACACTAAAAAGATACATTTTTATCAATGAAATGCTACATCTTGGATTTGCTTTAAAATAAACCAGTGGGAAGAGAAAAATGTGGATAGCTATATAGATAAATGATGATGGGCATATGTTGGTAACTGTTGAAGCTGGGTGGTCTATATAATGGGGTTTATTATTTTAGATATGTTTTTTCTTTCATGTATGTTTAAATTTTCCATAATCAAAAGGTTTTGTCTAAAAAAAAAAGGAAAAATACCAGGTATTAGAGGAGATAATACATAACCAAAAGCCAAAAAAACAAACAATGAAAAATAAACCAATAGGTAAGAGGAACAGAATCACAGGAGATCCAGATAGTGGAGATATCTTCTTAGACTTAAAAGAAAAACATAATTAAATGTTTTCAAGGAATGAAAAAGAACAAAATCACAATTTCAGAAGAGATTAGGAAATGTATAAAATAAGATCAAATGGAACTTTTATAACTGAAACATAAAAAAATTAAAAACTCAATGCGTGGTTTAACACAGACACAGAAGAAGAAAGAATTAGAAAACTAGAAGATAAGCCAAAAGCAAATTGGCAGACTGAAGCAAAGAAAGAAAAATACTGGAAAATACAGAAAAGGGCATAGGTTGATTCTGACATGCAATTAGAGACTCAAAAGGAAAGAAGACAGAAAGGGGCAGAAGCCATATTTTAAGAGATAATGGCTGAGAATTTTACACAACAGATGAAAAGCATCAAGCCATGGATTCAAGAAGCATTAGAGAGCAGAACCAGAATAAATACATAAGTATTTATGTATTAGTATAGTCCAACTTCTGAAAACCAAAGACAATGAGAAAACCTAAAAAGCAACTAAGGGCAGGGAAAGAGGAAGAAAAACAAACTGTATCAGAGGGGCAGCAGTGAGATAAACACTCAACTCCTCAACAACAACAAAAGCAAGCAGAGACAACAGGATTATACTCTCAATGTCCTAAAAGAAAATTACCACCAATCTTCAATTCTATACCCAGCAAAAATATCTTTCAACTATGAAGATAAAGTCATTCTCAAACAAAAACTGAAGTGTCTTGTCACTAACATTCCTAAAGGAAATAATAAAGGGCATTCTTCTGGCAGAAGGATAATAGCCTTGGCTGGAAGCTCAAAGATACAGAAGGAAATGAAAAGTAACAAAAAAGGAAAATGTCAGCCAAACATAATGAAACCACTTTATAACAATCTCTTCTGGGGTTTAAAATATATACATAATTTAAAAAAATGAGTGTGCAGACACTGCTGTTTGCCTACCCAACATCCATTCTCCACATCTATCTTACCACAACTTTATTCAGGGAGGTAATGTGCCCAGAAAAAACAACCATATTTGTCAGTCTTCCTTGCAGCAAAGGGTGGCCATGTGATACAGGAGTTAGAATCAATCTAAGAAAGCTCTTTAAAAGGGAGCTCACACGTGTTCTTAACTGTAACACAGAAGCAATACTGGAGATGGAGTAGTCATCTTGTGACCACAAGGTAGCAAGCATAAGGAAAAAAGCTAAGGGTATCTGAGTGAATGGTAAGAAGGAACTTGAGTCCCTGATGGCATAACAAAGCTTTTGTACCAACTCTGGACTGCCTGCCTCTAGGCTTCTTGCTGCATAAGCAAAATAAAGTCCTATTTGGCCAAGTCGCTGAAGATGTTACATAAAGCCCAATGCAATTTTTATCACATGTGATTCATGTATTGCCTTACAGATGTTCAGGGCTAAGGAGACCAAAACCTACTAACAGAATAAAAGCATGAAGGTCCCTAAGGCCCCCACCAAAATGTTTATTCTTCCTTATCATCAGTTACCAAGTAACTCCAGGAGAGTTCAATTCTAGAAGGATGCAGAGATACAGCCCCGAAGATCACATGACAAGTTCCCCTAGGCCAAAGAATCAGACTGGGTTTTTCAGCCTTGTTTTTTTGAAGACAGGAAGAGCAACACAATTCTCAGAAGAGTCAGGCTAAGAAAAGGCCAAGGGAGACACAAAAGCTTTCTTTGTGTAAACGACCATCTCTAAACAGTAAACTCACCCTTCTGGATGCTGCAAAACAGAAACCATCAATTCCACGGCCAGGGCTCCTGCAATCATGGCCAGTCCTGGGCGGCTCACAGTGCACTGCTGGTCCAAGGTCCGGTCTCTGGTTGACTAGAGAGAAACAATCATTGATGTGTGCTCAAAGTTCTAGTCCACTCAACCGTGCTGTTTGAAACACGAACCTCCTCCATGTTAAAGCTAAGTAACATAACCAGATGCTCGCTCACTGTGGGCAAAGAACATTCAGCCTCAAATAATACCACTTCTTGCAAATACCAAGAAAAACAAGATATACAACTTAGTTAACTAAATGAGGTAATTTGCTAAAAGGAGTAACAGTTATGAACAAATTAAAGATTAGGGGCCTAGAGGCCCCATATATGGAGTTGCATCACGTGCTCTTTTAACTGACTCAAATCAACCCCAATGTGCTTGGTAGTTGAGGGACAGAGAGAAAAGAATAATCATTTGAATAGTGCAAATGATTCTGCCCTGCCATTCTAACTGAGCCATGCCTCAGAGTGCCTGTGATGTGGGACAATAATTTGCCTTTCCTGCAGTCCTCAGTTCCTGTGGGCCTCTCACAGTGTAGACATCGTGTCACACTGAGTGTGATTCCTGGGCTGAAATACAAGTATTTTTGTTACAACAAGGCTCCAAACACAAACCTTCATTAGTGCAACCAAAGAAATTCTAATCTTCCAACTTCAGGAAAATTAAGAGGTTGTTAGAGATAATTTTGACTCTGAATTTTTCACCTTATTGAACAGATACAACTTTACTGTAATTGACCCTTAATCCTACTTGTTGGTAATGATGAAATAACGGGACCAGCTGTATGTTATAAAACCACTGATGAAGATTATCAAGTCATCCTTCTTCACATGGAGAATATTTATCTTTTTTTCTTTATACAGGGAGGACATAAAAGCCAGTCATCCAAAAGAGGTAGGAGTTATTAAGGAACAAGTTTTTAAAGAAGGGGAAAATGAAGGGAAGGGTACGGAAACACCTATGCTTTGTTTCACCGGAAATGATTATCTGTTCTTATAAAAGACCATTCCTACAGACTGTGCCTTGCGTGGTGGCATTAACACCATAGAATCTTACATTTGAACAGTGTACTGCCTGCTGTTCAGAGCACTTTCACATTTGACCCACCTTACACTATGAGTAGTCAGGTTAAAGTATTCTCCCCTCTCCTACTGGGGTTAGCAGATAAAATATGAGATACCCAGATGAATTTGAACTTCTGATAGACAACAAATATTATTTTGATATGAGCAGGTCTTGAATACTGCATGGGACAAATTCATACTAAAATATTATTTACCTGAAATTCAAAGTTAACTGGGAATCCTGTATTTTCACTTGCTAAATCTGACAATCTTATGGGACCCAGCCCCATTCTGCAGAAGTACAGGCAGCCTACGAGTGGTATTTGGAATCACCCCACAAGGCAGTGTCCAAGCCTGGATTGGAATCCGGGTCTTCAGACCCCTCAGTTGATGCTCTTCTCTTCAGTGATACATGCACAGGAGACAGTGCTGAGTGCTGCCAGGGACCAGTCTATCCTGCAGTTTCCCTGATGAGCTTTCCACAAAAAATGGTTGGTCACTGCGTTTATGCTGCTGAACAAGGAACAGCCTGTGCACAGTTGATGATGCCAATCAAGGCTCATGGTGAGATAATGTCACCCCCAAATTAGAGAATTCTTCTCTTTGTTAAAAGACAATATTTAAATAGTCACAAAAGAAAGAGTTGGGTCTCTCTGCCCCACTGGGCAAGACAGTTGTAGGAAATATTTGGAAGCACAAAGAAATCCACTTACATCTCCCGGGGCCACCACATCATTGCAGAAATAGCAGCCAAGTTTGTAGCCAGGGATGTTGGCAAAAAGTGATGAGCCCAGGAGGTCGGCAGGTGCCACAAGGTGACTAGAACACAAGTCCCCAGCTCCCTGCTGCTTAGGTTTCTTCAAGCCATGTCTCATGACAACAAACGTGTCAAATCCCAAGGCAGCATTGATGACCAGCTGTGGATTTCAAGGAATAAAAGTCTAGAGTTACGAGACACTTACATTTTAAGCCATGGCTAATTTCATATTTGGTCAACTTTTAAAAATTTATTTTATAAGTATTTCGTATGAATGTAATTAGAGTCTAGAAGCCATGTTAGTAAAAGCTATATAATACTGAGGATTTATTAAGTGCAAAACACTTGACCAGTGATTAACATTAATTATCTCATTTGGTTTCATTTAAAACTCCCAGAACACTTTTCCTATTTACAGATGAGGATAATGAAAGTTAGAGCAGTTACTTCTATAACTTGCCCAAGGTCACTTAGCTGGTAAGAGGTAAATGTATAAAACCAAGTCTTGAGAGTTCTCAGTCTCATTCTTTCCACCATTGTGCTATCATCTGACATGCCTACACATATATATTTTTTTAATTTTATTTATTTATTTGAGAGAGAGCAGAGCGAGAGAGAGAGAATACATGGGTTGGGGAGAGGGGCAGAGAGATAGGGAGAAGCAGGCTCCCCGCTAAGCAGGGAGCCGGCTGCAGGGCTCGATCCCAGGACGCTGAGATCATGACCTAAGCCAAAGGCTTAACTGACAGCCACCAAGGCACCCCAACACACATTTTTTTTTTTTTAATAATAGCTTCACTGAGATATAATTCACACACTATACAATTCAACCTTCACACAGATTTTTTAAGGACACTTTTTTTCTCACTTATACTAGAACTTCTCTTAGTTGTAATTTAACTTATTCTCCTAAATTTCTGGTTATATAGAAAGTTGGAAAATAAATGGTTCACTGGAAAAAAAACCAAAAATCACAATCTCATGGCTCAAACACTTACTACTAATAGTTTTGGGTATTTCTTCCTGTTGTTTTCTCCCTTTCTTTCTCTTTTCTTCCCCCCTCTTTCTCCCTTCTTCTTGCCTCCTCCCCACCCTCTTGCCAAACAATATAAATGTTTATATGTTTACAGATATGAACAATTCATATTAAATATATATAATATCGTATCTTGTTTAACATAATGTGATATTTTCCATGTTATTAAAGTTTTTGAGAACATAATTGTGCACAGCGGTATTTGGAATCACCCCACAAGGCATAGTACTCCATCATATTTATGTACTATGATTTATTTAACCACTCAGTACTGTCGGCCCTTGAAGTTGTCATTGACCAAACAATAGGGAATGAGACAGTCTTTGTCCTTTTGGAGCTTACATTTTAATGTAAGTAAAAGATCCCTTCTAGAGGACCTCAAAGGGTTGCTGTGAAAATTAAATAGACGATACCTATTATACTAGATGGTGGTGTGTGAGGCAAAGACAGCGCCTGCCAGTGGCAGCCTTTGGGATGTCACTAGGTCACTCACAGCACAGCTCTCTTCTGGAGAGAAGGCAGATCTCCCTCCAGGGTGATGGCACGTCAAGTTCCAACCAGACACAAGAGCGCCAGGATCCACACACTCTACCTTTCTTTTGCTCGCGGCAATGACGGCAGGGAGCCACCGGCTCTCCCTGGTGTCCATCAACAGGAAAACGACATCATGGCTTTCGATGAGCTGCTCCAGTTGCTCCACATCCCTGCGGGCTTGCTCCAGGGTGACGCTGGAAAAGTTCACCGGGTGTCCAGGCATCGGGATGCTCATGTTGAACCCTCTGGCATTCTGGGGAAACACCAGATATACAGATGTCTGAAGCAAACGTATAGGGGATATCTTAGAGCCCATGTCTCCCCATAGCTACAAGCATGCATGTGTGGTCACTTGTAACCAGAAATTTCTCTGTGCATGATTTTGCTGCTTGTCCCTTTTGCTACCTGTGCCCTGCACCTTCTTCACCTCTACATCCTAGATTATCTTGTCCTGTCATCCCAGGGTCCCTGAGCCTGGATAAAGCAGCAAGCAGAGACATAAGGATCCTAGTTCCAAAGAAGGAGGTAAGTACTTCCCATCTGAGGCAAGGAGGACACTGGAGAAAACCGTACCTTTGGTTTTTCCTATAATCTGAGGCCAGGAACCTCTATCAAAGTGCCCTGTGCTCAAGTCCCCTTTGTCCAGTTGTTTCTCCCTACTAGTTCCCAAATTGCAACCCCATTTCCTTAGTCTATAACATCTCCAAATAGGATATTATAACAAAAAACATTTAATAAACTTACATAAGATTAGAATGACTGATAGTCTTGTCTTAATCTTAGAGGTATACTCACTTTAAAAAAAAGCTCTTTAGGGCGCCTGGGTGGCTCAGTTGGTTAAGCAACTGCCTTCGGCTCAGGTCATGATCCTGGAGTCCTGGGATCGAGTCCCGCATCGGGCTC